TTTTCAGAAGCTGATTCCAAGATCTTTCTTCAAAGCTGCCTCATGGTGGACTCGAATGTTCAACCTTTCTGTGAGCCACTGAGCCCATTCACATTTGTGTCATGCAGGGACCCAACCTCCCACCACAGAAGCTTTAAATACATGAAAGTCAAACTTGAGTCTTTTCTGCCTACCAGGGTGGTCTTGGACAAGTGGAGGGAACCCTCAGGCCTCAGTTTCCTCAGAGAAAATCCAGGGGTACCAGGGAAATACACTATGACTATTCTTTTTAAATATCTTCCTGACACAGCTCTAATGTGGGTTTCAAGGCTTGTTCCTTTCAGAGCTCTAGATGGAGCATTTGAGGGGAAGTTGGCAATAGACTCTGGGGAGTTCCACTAAGGCCTCCTTGAGCACCAGGCGGGGGGCTTCATGACAGGAAGGTCATTCAGCACAAGTCCCCCACCCCCACCCCATCACGTGGGGAGGCAACCACTTCAAGCAAACGAGGAACCAAAGGTCTTGGCAGTGTTTGCCCACATTTGGAAGCAGGTGCGCAACAGAACAAAACACAGCCTAGTCCCCACAACAGGTTGCAGATCAGACCGATATGATCCACAGGGTTTTCATTGGCTAATTTTTAGACCGCCAGACATTTCTTCCTGGTGTTAGTCTGGAAGCCCCATGGAAATCAGTTCAGCATCATAGCGACACCCAAGCCTCCACTGAAAGACAAGGGGTATCAGTTCATGATGTACACGGATGAACCCGGGTCTCCTGGTGATGCGGACGGCTAAGCATTGGGCTATTAACTGAAAGGTCAGTAGTTTAAACCCACTAGCTGCTTTGTAATGATAAAGATGAGGCTGTCTTTTCCCATAAAGATTGAGTCTTAGAAACCCCAAGGAGCAGTTCCACTCTGTGCTCACAGGGTGGTACGAGTTGGAATAGACTCGACAGCAACAGACTTGGTTTGGTCTTTTGACTCCTTTATGGAAGGTGAGAATTCTACTACTGAACCAGCACGGATGCCTAGGAAAAAACCCACAACCGTCACTCAATTCTGACTCTCAGTGAACTTCCAGGGCCTCAAAGGGTTTCCAAAGCCGGCATCTTTAAGGAAGCCAACTGCCACATGTTTCTCCCACAGAGCGGCTGGTGGGTTCAATCTGCCAACCTTTCTGAGCACACAGACACTGCACCACCAGGGTTCTTTCCAGAAAAGGTCCTAGAAGGATGTAACGGGGCCACAGAGATGGTGATAAGGGACTCTGAAATCGAGGCTCTCTGGGGGGGCCCGATGAGAGTAGTGGGGAGCTCGTGCCTCCTTGAGGAGTGAGCGTTCTGTTCTGCTACTCCCTGACCCCACCTCATCTCTTCCAGGTCCCTGAAGATGCTGGCTTTGTCACTGAGACTCAGTGGTACTCCTTCGGGGTGAGGGTGGGGCACAAGGGACACTGATTGGTTGTTGCTGCTGTTGGTGTTAGGTGCCATCGTGTCGGTACCGACTCATAGTGACCCTACGCACAACAGAAGGAAACACTGCCCGCTCCTGCACCAATCTCACAATCGTTGCTACATTTGAGCCCATTGATGCTGCCACTGTGCCAGTCCATCTAGTTGGAGGTCTTCCTCTTTACTCTGACCCTCCACTTTACCAAACATGATATCCTTCTCAATGGACTGTCCAAAGGATGACAGACAAAGTCTGGCCATTCTGGTCTCCAAGGAGCATTCTGACTGCACTTCTTCCAACATAGATCGGTTTGTCCTTTTGGCAGCCCATGGCACTTTCAATATTCTCCTCCAACACCATACCTCAAACGTACCAATTCTTCTACGGTCTTCCTTATTCACTGTTCAACTAACACATTTTTCAAAATTAGGTTATTAAAAATACCATGCTTTGGGTCAGGGGTACCTTTAGTCCTCAAACTGACATCTTTGCTCTTTAAAACTTTAAAGACATCTTGTGTAGCAGATTTGCCCAGTGCAATATGTCGTCTGATCTCTTGACTGCTGCTTCCGTGAGTGTTGATAGTTGATCCAAGCAAAATGAAGTCTTTGACAACTTCCATCTTTTCTCCATTTATATGGATGTTTATTATTGGTCCAGTGGTGAGGAGTTTTGTTTTCTTTACACTGAGTTGCAACCCATCCCGAAGGCTGTGGTCTTTGATCTTCATCAGTAAGTATTTAAGTCCTCTTCACTTTCAGCAAGCAAGATTGTGTCATCTGCAGATTGTCTTCCTCCAATCCTGATGCCATGTTTTCATTCATATAATCCAGCTTCTCAGATTATTTGCTCAGCATTGTTGTTGTCAGGTGCCATCGAGTCGAAACCGACTCATAGCGACCCCATGCACAGCAGAACGAA